CATGCCATAGCCGAAAGTCAATGCGCAAACTAAGAGTTTCGGCTGAGCTCCCAACCCTTGCTTGGGCTCTGACCACTTCGCCAATTGCTCGCCGAGCCTGCAACAACCGACAGCATGCAATCACACAATGCCTTGAGATTCCACACACGTATGTGTGTATATACATATGTGTATATATATATATATTCTGATAAATATATATATATATAGCCAAATGGCCTTTTTGTCGGCAGGGTTGAAGAAGTCCGAGTTAGACCAGCACTCTGCCACCTGTGTGAAAAACTGCGGAGAAACTTTCGGCACGGTGCCCAAGAAGACCAAATAGACCCGTTGGCATTGCAAAGGCATCCGAGTTGCTAGCAAGAGAAGTAGTGCCCAGGCTGGAGGTAGTCGACGATCTTTGTCACCTTCGCTGTATGCGCTCATTCACTTCGGCAGGTTTCTGGTCAAAGGGGGCTTCACAGGTGCCCGAATAGGGACCAGTTCCCCAAATGTCAGCCATGGTGCCCTTTTTCCGCAGGAGGGCACCAAATTTGGCCTGCCAAATCTTGAGTGCCATGAACACATCTCAAAGCAGAATGCAATCTTATTCTGCCCTTTGGAATGTCGGGCCTCCGCGAGCAGCGGCAGGAGCGACAATAAGCTCACCTTACATCTGAAGGTCAAGACAAGCAAGCACCTACGTATGAATGATGTACGGTTACCACTTGCATCCATGTTGCCACATCGCCAACAATGAGAAGAAAACGCAAAAGCTCTGGCAGTGTCACGGCCATGGCACAAGTGCCCAGCGCAAACGTCCAGTGCCGATTGGAGCACTAAGAGTCATGTCAGATTAGAATCGTGAGACGTCAGAACTTCACATCTGCTACTACTCCTTGCCAATCCTTGCAGTGTCCACATGTGGAGCTTCCCAAATCTCCCCGCCTACTCATTGATTGTACTTGTGCTGGCGTCAATTCAATAACATGCCCCTGATAAATCTGTTCTAGACAATGCAATGCCTGGCTAACCGAAACCCAAAATGATTGAGCCACTGCTCCGTCGCAAACTCCAAGCTTATATAAATCGATCTCGGAATATGTCAAAGCACACTTCGGACGCCAAAAACATCGCATAGCTCTCCTAATGTGCAGCCGAAAAGCTACACCGCTTCCCGCACAGTCATGGTAGCTGATTCCGGTGCGGAAACGATCATGCCTGCAGCAGCTTGGAGCAAAAGGATACCCTGCCTTGCATTTAGCATTTTGCATGACTCTACCTAGACATTTGGTGGAAGAGGGGTTCTAAAGATTTTTATTTGTTTATCCTCGGTCTGAACAAGTGCAATCCCAGCGGCAGCTGATTGTAGAAGAAACCTCCTCGACCCCAGACACCTTCAGCCAACGGCGGGTAAACCACACTGCCCATCACCTCAGTAATTTCCGACCACTAGCCCGATGTGGAGTGAATCGTCGACAACATAAGAGCCATGCAACAGCATGTGTAGCGCTGCAAATTGTTCCCCCATCATGGGTTTTTGGAAGCTTGCAAACGGAACGGAGCCAAAGTCTACTTTGAAGCCAATGGCCACGACGGCCATGATGTCCCAAACATGATCTCTACTCCGCAAAAAGACTGCCTGAGCAGCCGACAAGTTGATCTCTCAAGATATTTATGCAACAGGAAAGGCTTCGCCCGATATGGTGGGAACGAGGCATGAAACAACAAAGTTGTGAACAACCTGCCCCCCCAAAAAAAGGCTCTAGATATTGAAGTTCTGTTTCTAGCATGAACCGATTTGCGAACGTACTTGCTAAGACTAGCCTTGGGTATGTGGTTCCATCGCAGCCCTATGTGGAGGCCCTTGAGACAAAATGTAGACTCCTTGAGACAGACAGTCAGACAGACAATCCCAACATCACTCCTCATGGCATGATTCTGCTTCTAGGTCACCGCCGCATAAGCCAAATATGCCTCAATTGGTCAGGGCCATCTCAATCCAAGCAAGGGTAAGTATATAGGGCTATATACTTTATGCACCCTTTGCTGCAATGGCATCTGAGGGCTTTGACTCAAACAACTTGGTGCCACATTCCGTCCATCTTGCAACTGTGACACCACCATGTGCGCTCGCTCTGCCATCGCCCCCGAGCAAATCCTCGGCCCATGTTGGTCGCTGTACCAACCGTGGTGCTCACTCTGACAACAATTCCATCTACCAAGGGTCGTCGTACAGGTCGCGCAGAAGGCCCACATAGACAGGAGGTTTTCATACCTGCAAGCTTTGCACAGCCAAAGCTTGGCTAAAAGGACATCCCAAAATACATAAGACTTTTCGTAAAACCAAACAACACCAAAAAATGCGAGGTGATGGAAACAACTAGGAAGGGGAGTGGGAGTGAGGAGTGCAAAAAAACAATAAGTACTAAGACATAGCAACCCAGAAGCGATTTTGATCCGTTCTTGTCCTGCACCAGAGTCATATCCAGAAATTCCGCTGCCAAAGCAAAGGCCAGGCAGGTCACAACCGAGTCCATGACATTCCTGGAGCCCAATGCTGGAGATGTACCAACACACACATGCAAAAGGCGTTTTAAAGTACTAAAGGTTGGCTAGCCTACGGCCTACAACATGTAGGCAAATGGTTGCACAGGCAGTTGCCAGTATAATTCTCATTGCAATACACTCAAGACTCTAATGGACAAAATGCTAGAATTTTCATAACTTTCAACCAAGAGTCTTCGCCAGAACGGTCATTCGATGAGCCTCCCGGACTCCTCCCACCTCCAGCATTGCGAAACCCAGTTGCATCGACACCACAAGGAACCTGCACGCTACTCGATCAGGATGAGAAAAATCATATATCACTTACATCGCGCCATTTTCAGTATGTTATCTTAACATGTCACGTGGCTGACTGCTCTGTAGCAGGTCTTGCAGCTTGCCGCAATCAATTCAACAACACAAAGCAGCCAAACGCATGGCTGACCGGCAAACCCGGGTTCTTCGCCAAGTGGCGTGCATAGAAGCAGCCATAATGATTCCAAGCCCTTCCCAAGTTCCAGATCTGACTCGGATGAGCAGGAGGTGCTATTGTCACTACAGCCTGTCACGGCTGCTTGCGGTAGGCCCAACTTGGCGACCAGCACCACATATGCAACTAGAAGGCTAGAGTTGCACACCAATGCAACGGTTGTTGTCAAGCAGGCCTTTCCACCTATGGCACTATGGCACTCATGTTGCTCGTAAGGTTAAGACTTCCAGCCTGGCATTTGCTGAGTCACCACCTGCCCAGGGACAAAAAGCATCACTTCTCGGTACTGTTACTTCCTTCCAAATCCCCGTTTCGTTCATCAACCTGTTCCTTCCTTACCATTTCCTCGTAGTGGGTGTGCATGTGCAGTTTAAAGTCGAATGTAGTCTGCCGAGGTTTCATGGAACTTGTTAGCAACGAAGCCATCCACTTGTGCTGGAAGCAGGGCCTGATCAGCTCCGTGTGCCTGCTATGTTTTGACTTGACACTACCTGGTGGGCCCCGATTGTAATTGGAACAACCCTTCGTCCATTGCGACGGTTTATGGTAAAGGGCAAAGGCACTCGGCAAACATGCGACTTGGAAACTGTGTGTTGCGACTTGGCAAGCCTTCCAGTTCAGGATGTTTGGACCCCACTGCATGTTGCACTTCGCTTCTTGAAGGTGCTTTATCTTAAAAGG